ATCGATGAAACAAGTCATTTTTGTACAAATATCAGACACTAAACATTACTCGAAGCTCGATTTTAACAACAAATCTTCTCTTCGATTCGGTGAAACACCTTCACTATTGTTTATTTTCTATTGATTCTTTTCTACTTCGTTGACAAGATGAATCAAGAATAGAAAATACATGTCCTTTATTGGTCTACAATGCCATGGGTCTTCTCCTTCTTGATTCACACATAAACTACTGTCAACAACGATCGTTTTTGGTATCGAGTTCGATGATGACGATAAAGTAGCATGCGAGAATGCTTTAAATGATCTATTGTTTTTTGGATGATAGTGATTGTAAGTGTAGCTTTCTTGTACTCAATTAGCTTTTGGCCATTGTAAAGATTTCTGGTCATTGCTGTTCTCAAGCAGTACTTCATTTTCAGCATTTTTTCATCCTCGAAGTCTGCTCTGTCAATGAACTATTTATCAGAATACCAATTGACTTTCTTTAGAAGAAAATGAACATTGTGCTCAGCATTAGGATTGACATGTGAGTTTCAGTCAACAATCAATTTTACCATCTGTCTCCAAGAAGACAAGAGAAAACCACGATTCTTCCAGAAAAATTTAAAAAAAAGTATCGACTGAAATTTGATCACATTGTCCTGACCTTGAAAATGTTGATTGTGCAATCAACATCGAGATCGAGTTTCTATGTACAAAATATAAAAGTCATAATTCGGATATTTTCACAGAACATATGAATAGGAGATCTCTCGTATACGTAGCAATCACTGAGGATTTTGACTCGGTCTTTAAAAGTATTTATCAAATGCTTGATACGATAACTGATACTATTCAGCTACTTGAGATCATTACAAGAACAATCTAAAGGAGTCTTCTTCTGCTCGATCAATCGATCACCAACAATAAACAACAAACCATCAACGCGTTTCGTTCGAAACCTGTTCTCATTTTTGGAATATATTTAACAATCAAATCACTCGAACTTCTTATGCTTCAAGTCTGTAAACGAGTTTGATGTTTTATCATTTATATCCATCCAATTCATTCAGTTATTCTCATCAAAATAGACCTCGTTTTGCTGTTGATTTTGACGCGAGAATCGATCATTGTGTTCACATCTTCGATTGAAAGCAATGTTTGATGTGTGATGCATCGATTCTCTGTCAATCTAAGAACGAAGTTTACATTAAAATCCTTTTTTTTTCTTGTACAAATTAAGCTGATTCTTTCATCCATTGGAAAATATAGGGCTGTCAAGTCGGAATGAGTTGAGAACTTGGTTATCATGAGGATCATGGTCATGTCTTTAGACTTACACCGTCAGCCATCCACCATTGCCCTTAAGAAGTCTAAACCTTCGTGATTGTTAGATCCATAATACATTGTTGTGTATAAGAAGTTTATTTGTGAAGTTAAAAATAGACATCCTTTACATAAATCTTGTATCAATCTTTCTTGCCCACTTGTATATAAGAAGATTAGTATCGATACGAAAATAGCTCTTTTGGTGTTATAAAGTTCGGTAAACAATCATTTATAACAAATCTGCTATAAACTAAAGATGTTTGCAGCACACGAACTAGTTATTGTAAGAATAAATAGAGTTTTAGCTTGTTGGAGGTGTGCAGAATAAAATAAAGTCAATGCAACGACCTTATGAACCTCTTGAACACCAGATTGTTTATATTTTAACTCGAATCTAGCACTGAAGAAACCTATTGTATTTTCACTCTCTATGTTGATGCTATCCTAATAGCTACAAGCAAGAGCCAAAGTAAAAAGAAATTTTTGTAACGATATGTCTGCATTGACATCAGAATAAACTGTATGATGTCTTTTACGAATTTCCAGAATCCTGTTTCAGTTTCCGCCAATGGTCTCAACAAAGGAATTCGTTCCTGTAGTCGCAGCATACAAGTACATCTATACATTCTAAGGGCAGCTCTCCAAGCAAACGTTCCATGCAATTGAGTATTTCTATTACTCTTATGTTCCCATTACCTACCACATGTCTACTAGTAGAAATTGTAGCAATGTTTTGGAAATTTCAAAAAAAATATGTTTCTATTTTTCATGAATCTTTCAGTAATTATAAGTGAGATGGTATCTGAAAAGGTTTTTTTATTTATGATTGATAGTGAGCCTATTACAATAAGATGAGTTTCTCTTTTTATCTCAATCAACTAAAATTTTACAAGATAGTTGCAGTGCTTTTTGAAAGTGTTGTGGTATTATTTTGTGAGATGAACAACTTTATTGCTGTCGTACACATTTGACACATGTAAAAGAAAGAGAAAATATTTAACAAAGGATTTGTCAGGCCATCTACTAAAATTTTTGTGTGGGAAATTCAAATACATTGTTTTTTATCGTTGAAAACAGAAGCTTCGTTTTGTAAAAAAAAAAAAAATTAAAACTAAAATGTTAGCCGATTCACAATTTACAAATAATTCTAATCGAATATTGGAGTAGATCAATTCGTCGCCTTGATTCAGAACGATATATTTGACTTTATGCAGTGCAAAGATACAATGCTGAATTGTGAAGCACTCCAAATTTACGTTCTGCTGTTACCAGATCAATGTTGAACCTTTATTCTATATGTTTGAATGAGAGATAATTCAATAGTTACTTTCATACTACAGCGAAAAATATCTGATAAAAAACACAACTGTTTCGCCAATATCTATACTATAATCAGTAAGCTGTAAGACAGAAGAGGGATAGTGGAGGGCATCGCTATTGTATATAGTTTCCATGCGTGGTAAGAGAAGAAAAACAAAATAATATAATGGTTCTACTGCTTACATAAATTAATAGAACGAATAGGTTTTTTTCCAAAGCACACAAAAGTTGTTGCATTTGAAAAGTGTTGAAAATATAACAGTCCTCGCACTGAAACATTTGTGTTGACTAGTGGCATCTTTATTCGTATTGATTGCTTCCATTGGAATAAGCTATTCAATAGTAATGTCTGTTTACTTTTAATTGTGTAAGTACGTAAGGATGGAGATGCTGAATAGTGATTGAAGGAGAGAATGTGTAAAAACAAAAAATAAAGAACGAAAAAAAAACGTATCGATTATTCATAACAGTCATTTGATTTATCTTACATAGAACGAATTGTCCCGAAATTCAAGGTCTATTAGTTTTGTAGTCGCTTTACGCAAAAGTTTGAATACAATAATGAATAATTTCATTTGATTATATATAAATTACGTTCCTTCGAACGATGTATAGTTTAATCTCGAACAACAAACAACGGTTTCAGGTAGGGTAAATATATGACATGATTTTATTTCTTTTAAGTAAACTCATATAAAGATTTAGTGTGTGAATTAATTTTTCCCCGTCAAGATGCTTTGAAAAAAAATGTCGTACTATCCTTTTTGTTTTACAAAAATATTACACTAAATTTCTCTAGTAAAATATGAATTCTTTTTCTAAAGAAGAAAATTTTTTGCTTGATTTTTTAGAATATTAATTCACTCTTTGAGTTTAAAAAATAATTAATTTACGGTGTGAAACGATTTAGTTTTCATTGAATTATAGTTAAAATAAAATTGAACTAAAAGTTTGGTTTTTTTAGCATCGAAGTTTCAAGGTTAAAATATTCAGAATGTTTCTAGCGGATCTACAAGTTTCTACAACATTTTACAAAAATTAAAAAAAAATCACAATCGAACAAGCACTAAAACAGAATTCAGGCAACTGTGTTGTTTCGTTGCTATATCGACATGTCTGTCACGAACTGCTGACAATATGTGTAAACTCACAAAAAAGAAAAAAAAAGATTGATTGTTTTTTTCTCTCATAATCGAGAACTATGGTTGCGAGTGAATAACGATCATTGTTTTCTTTTCTGTGCGTTTACACGCAATTTCGACCCTTTTAAATATTTAGATTACAAAATATACTTTTTCTGGATGTTGCGATAGAAAATCTATTATTGAATTTTAAAATTTGATCGAATATTGTAAAGGAAAAAATCTGAGTGGAAAATATCAAAGTAACAACGTCGATAAAGTATTCAAAAAATTAAATGCATCTAAATTCTCGCTTGCACTCTGCTTTCTCGGTAAATTTCATATAGTCTGTGGAAGTACCAATATATCCATTATTTTCTAAGAGATCCTTCAATTCTCTAGCTATATACAATGAAACATAATGCCAATCATATTTCAGAAATATGCGAAAACTTAATAAAAAAAGAAGATCATATTGAATAAAATTAAAAGAAAGATGAGGAAAAGCTTATTTACCGTAAAACGATATAGACAGAGATTTTAAAAACTGTCTTTCACACGAAAACATAAATAAATTGTTTACTGCTTTTAGAACCTAATGTGACATTTCTGAACAAGTTTATTTTGCGTGCCATGACGTCATTTCATAGTTATATCAACTGTTGATACAGAAGACTATAACCTTCCCTTGACATCTCTTATCACCACATTTTTGTCCTTCCTTCTTTCTTAACTATTATTAGTCCATTGCCTACTCTGACGATACCGATACACCTATTCTTCTTCATAATTACCTTTCTTGGCATCCTGTACCTTCCTCTTCGTATCTTTTCTTTTCCTTCTCTCGTTTTCTTGTCTCTTTCTCTTCTGATTCCATAAATAAATACGCGTTTTTGTATGTAATGGATGGAATTGATAATAAAAAGAAAGAGAATAAAGGATAACTCTATCCCGATCAATATGTCCTCTATCGGAAATTGTGACATCTAGCCTTTCAGTCTCGAGATTACACTCAAATATAGTTTGATATTTTAGTTCTTTTCATATTGTATTAAAAACTTCACATCATGTTCTTTATTCTTGTTTTAGATTTTTCGTGTGAATAAGATTAATCTTCGAAGTATAACGTGTATTTAAACGAAAGTTTACTCTATTTGTTTTGACAATCTAGAACGAGCTTCTTTCTTCCGATAATATAAAATAAATAGAGTAGTGTATTAAAAGAGTGTTCTCTAATATCAGTACAAAATAATGACAGAACAAGTGCAACGTTCGACCATTGGCAGTGCAGTCATTAAATCGATTGCATCTTCATGTCCGCCGACTAATCGTATATTTGCTCCACTTAACATACCATGGCATCGTCGCTTGCAAACTCTAGCTGTTCTCGTATGGTTGTTACTGCCATGGTTTTGTTTATTTTTAACAATATGTTTTCTTCGTGCTGATAGTTGGTACCTAACTGGATGCTTTCTTCTCTATCTAGGATGGATGGGCTTGTTTCGAACGTATTATAAGGAAGGTGGTTGTAGGCAACAGTGGTTTCGACGACTTTTTTTCTGGAAATGGTTTACTGGTTTGTATAGAATTTAACATCTTTCTCATTTGAATTTTTCTTCTCGTTGTATTTTTAGGCTATTTTCCAATTCGTTTACATAAAACATGTGATTTATCTCCTGATCGTTCTTATATATTTGGTTATCATCCGCATGGAATTTTTTGTCTAGGAGGTTTTGGTAATTTTGCGACTGAAGCTACCAGTTTTGAACAATTATTTCCTGGTATTAATCTTCGTTTTCTTGTACTTAATTCTAATTTTCAAATACCATTTTTTGAACTAATTTTAACAATGATGGGTATATGTGATCCATCGAAAGAATCATGTAATTATATTTTAAAACAAGGTAAAGGCAATAGTATTATGTTAGTTATTGGTGGTTCTAAAGAATCGCTGGATGCACGCCCCTCGTCTGAATATTTGCTGACTCTTAAAAATCGTAAAGGTTTCATTAAAGTTGCTCTTGAAAATGGTGCAAGTTTAGTTCCTGTATTTTCATTCGGTGAAAATGATGTATACGAACAAATAGCTAATCCACGTGGATCAAAATTACGATCATTGCAAATGACTCTACAACAAAAGATGGGCTATGCATTGCCATTATTTCATGCACGTGGCGTTTTTCAATATAAATTTGGACTTGTACCTCATCGACATCCAATTGATACATATGTTGGTGAACCAATTGAAGTACCAAAATTAGCTCCAGCAGAAATAACACCTCAAATTGTTAATGAATATCACAAGAAGTACTTGAATGCATTAACACATCTGTTTGATACACACAAAGCAAAACATAATAATGCAAATGCATCGCTCGTTTTCGTCGATGATCCCAAAGTGTCATAGACATAAAGTTTTTTATTATATTTTTTAATTTAAACAACTTTTATAAGAAACTCTACAGAATTTTTCATTAAAATATCTTGGTTTTTTTACTTTTAGTACGAAATATAAAAGTTGTTTAAATTGAAAAAGTTAATTTTTTTAACTTTTTAGTCTTAAAACAGTATATTTTAATTTTTTGATGAAATATTAATTCATTTTTATTGAAATTATAATTAAATTCCTTACAAAATGTTAACTACATTTATATTGCTATCACGTTTAATTTTTTTCGAGGAATTTTACAGTTCAACTTGATCTCATGATTTCAAAATTTATATTAGAAAATTCTGAACTGGTGCAGAACTGTTAACAATAGAATCGAATGTTCTAGAATTGGGTTTTTTTTTAAATCTGAAAATTATAAAGAATGTTTCACAAAATACCATATTTTTATATTTAAGTAATTTCTAGTCTTTTTCAAACACGTTCTAGCTAGAACATTAATTTTAAAAATATAATTTTGGAATATTTGTATAATGTTTCCATGACTAGGTTTTTTCTAGAAGGTTCTAGAGTAATGTTCGATCTTATACGATGAATAGTTTCGATTTTAATCGGATTTGAATACGCATATTTATATAACACAGTTAATTTAATATTAAAGTTGTTTAAAAAAGTAAATATTTAGAAAATCATATATTTTTCTGTTTTTTCTTGTCAAATTATACACGAATCGATCGTGAATACTTGATACGATTTACTTGATGCTCTAGTCTAACAGATGGCTTGTATCACTTTGGTCCCATTGACTTTTGTCAATGAGACTTTGATAATATTGGAAGAATTCCATTAAACGATAGCCCATTTTGAGGTTGGACGGGGATAAGCGCGAAGTTGACGGGAAGATCTACTCCTATTCAAACCTATACTATTGAGTTCGTCGACGTCTTGTAATAAAAAGTCATCGGCTGAGATAAAATAAATAACTGTTTACAAAAAATCAATTGAATTAGAGACGATTATATTTAACATGTTTCTTTTTATACGATAGCAATACCAGTGATAACGAACACTTTTTACGACGGGCTCATAATTTCTGTTCGTTTGCATATACATAAGTTCGCATAGAAAATACAAATATTTTCATGGGAAGTGAGTGGATGTCTTCTCCTGAAGAATAAGATAGAAGGTGACACTGTTTTTACGAGCTTTTGCTCATATTACTTTGCATTACACGTGATATTTATAGTATCTGATACTCTCGAATGTTTGAAATTGAGAACAAACACACTTATTTTGCTCATATATCCCTCCAGTGAGAAATTTGTTATTTGCTCGTTGCTCAAACTAACCTTTTTCTATGAATTAAGTCGAAAAACCGATGTTGTTAGTATGATTGGGATGTGTTTTTTTCACAACCACACACACACACATACGCTCACACAAAGAACGATTCGAATTTTTTTCCACTATATTGATAACTTTCATCATCTCACTGTATCGATCGATTCCAGTTGGTTTTTTTCTGCTGGACGAAAAGAATCTTCCGATCAGTTTCATTAATACATTCAATTCAAACTACTACTATTCAGTTCCTACAATCACGACAAGCAAAGGAAACAGAAAGAGAAAGAAAAAAAAATCCGTAATGACGTATTATTACAAAGCGAAAAACCTTCGCAAGAATGTGGATGTCAATTAGGTTAAGGAGAATATATACTTACACTTACATCCTGATTGATAGCCGAAGTCCACTGGCACTTTTATTACCGATATGAAAAAAAAAATGTCGATCTCAACCCTTTTCATTTTGAGACAAAAAGACTATAAAAAATGCAAAATTCTTTGTCATGTTTGTTCAATTTTTTAATCAGGTAATACGGCCTTATTCTGTTTCCTTTCTCTTGAAATTAAAACAACAGTGACGATGCATTTTCGTCTTCTGTTACATGCTTGACTCCTAAATAAGCTATAGTCAATCTTTAAATTTCTTTTGCAATGCAAATATCGTATGATGATAAAGCAGAAGTCATAGTAATGTCTGATTACATGCGCATTCATATATATGTATATGTCAATTCATTTTATTGGAATTTTGATTTCTAATCAATAAATCGATTGACTGCTCACATATTGTTCAAATAATCGTAACCATCGTTGCCTATTCTGGATATTCATAAATAATTACTAAAAAACAAAAGTTCATTGGATTTATAAATTATTGATCGATTCTAGTAATTGAATCGTGAAAAAATGGCGTCGAAAGGCGGAATTGTCGTTTATGGTATGACAGAGTCAATGGCTACTCAACGTGTATTAGTTGTACTCGTCGAAAAAGGTCTCGACTATGAATTGAAAGTAGTTGATTTGAGGAATGGTGAACATTTGGTAAGAAATGGATTAGATGGCTAAGTCATATTTTTTGGAAACTCCATGTTCCTTCTAAATAGACTCCTGAGTATTTGCAAAAACAACCATTCGGTACTATTCCTACATTTATCGACGCAGATGGCTTCAAACTTTACGGTGTGTTTAAAAAAATGTTTCATGTCGCTTTTCATTATACAATAAGTACATCTTATTGAAATATATTTTCCTATAGAATCACGAGCTATATGTCGTTATTTGGAAGCAAAATATAAAGGACGTGGCACTGAATTAGTTCCAAAAGGCAACAAAGCTCTACGTCTATTCGAACAAGGTATAGCAATTGAATCATCAAGTTTTGATTCATTAGCTATTCAAATTGTCGGCGAAAAAATTTTCAAAAGGTAGATCGATTTTGTATTTCGATATTTATTTTTCTTTTCATTGAATAGAATGCGTGGCGGCGAACCAGACATGGCCAAAGTAGCACAACTTCGAAAGGAATTGAGCGAGAATTTAGATGTTTACGAACAAATTTTATCCAAGCAGTCATATATAGGTGGAGAGGTAGCGCCAATACTATATTTTTGCATTGTATGTAATAAAATAATTGATTTTTTTTTCATCTATTAGACATTTACACTTGCCGATTTATTCCATTTACCATATGGTACAATGCTTGTTAAAGCTGGCGAAAGTCAACTATTCGAGTCTCGACTACATGTCAAACAATGGTGGAACAAAATTTCTAATCGACCTGCATGGAAATCCGTTGCAGCTATGAATTAGAATTTTAACAGCAAATAAAGGATATTTTTGTTTGCTTTCATATGTGCTGTACATTATTCGAATGTGCTTTTGAACTTTTTGTCGAAATAATATTGCTGGAGAGTAAGAATATTTTTAATGTATTGCACTGCATATATTACTCATTTGATAGCCTTTTTAAAAAGCTACAAAATTGTATATTTTCTAAAGCGAAAAAAATATGGCTACTAGAGAAATTCCTAATACACTGCTCTTCAAGCGCAGTTTGGCGTATTTTTAACCAATATTTCGAAGATTTCGATTAGGAAAAGTTCAATTCGAGTCAAAACTAATATGATATTTGGAATCAGCATAAAATTCTGAGTTGATCCAAGTACAATTTAACGGATTTCTGAAACGTTTTTTCATCGAAAATTTTGCCTGGGGTCCTCCTAAGGAACTAAAGAAAAAAATGAACTCAATGAAAATCCTGCTTTTATTTTCCAGCCATCTCCCATTTTACTATCTAATAACTTTTAACAACTTTCGAGGTTTATTTGTAACCGTCAAATGGTGTTTTGATGCAATTTATTTTTTGTCTCATCATTTAGAAGGATTCCAGGCAATATTTTCGATGAAAAAAAAAAGTTTCAGAAATTCGTTAAATTGTACTTGGATCAACTAAGAATTTTATGCTGATTCCAAATATCATATTAGTTTTGACTCAAATTGAACTTTTCCAAATCGAAATCTTCTAAATATTTGTTAAAAATACGCAAAACTGCGCTTGAAGAGCAGTGTACCTCGGAATGTCTCAAGTAGCCATATTTTTTTCACTTTAGAAAATACACGATTTTGTAGCTTTTTAAAAGGGCTATCAAATGAGTAATATCAGAGTTTTGATCATTTCAATTTTTAAACTAAAATATGTGTTAAAAGATAAGTATGAATAATAATTATAGTAAATATGATAATAATGTCTACCAGTACATCGAACCTATACCTCATTAAATTAAACAATCAATTAATGATTTATATATGAGATTAAAGCTTCCTCAAAGAGCTATCAAATTTATAATTTCAATGTTATACTGTCTTATCTGATAGTACAGAAATCAAATCCACCATGATAGGATCGGTTATTTAAAAAATGACCAAAAACGAGGTACTTTGTGAATAGCTTTTAGCTTTCAAAATTCGATCAAAATCTCATGAAACTAGTGTCAAAATGTTAGTCTCAACATGCTCTTTCTATTGATATATGACTCAATGGGATTGGTCAAGAAAAGTACTGATAAGCGGATTTAACGTCTTATGCGTCCCTCTCCTTTGGACCCACCCCTCCTCTCCTCACAGACTGTGACAGACGTTTTCGATGCATGATTGATTACTGATTATATATCACTAAGCTCTTATGAAAGTATATAAACTACTTTCTTTTTGAGTTCTAGGAGATAAATATTTTGCATGTTCTATGAAAAAGTTATTTTTTGGGTGGGAGAGGGAGCCTTAAATCAAGTAAGAAAGAATATAAAAAAAGAAAAAGATTTCATTTATTTGCTTATCAATTATTTGACCTTCGTTTTTGCTGTATAATATTGTTTATTCGCTTCTCCATATAAAATCATACACACACACACCCTTTCTTATCTCAACGTTATATGACTTGCATGTGTGCTCTAAGATAACAATGCAAAACAAAACAACAAATATTGTTAAGACAAGTGATTAAGTACTGGAATTAAAATATGAGAGTGCCAAAGTAACATTCACACACTGTCAAGACCTAGCAATTCCTTTCCTTGAACTGATTTCACACTGAAATCAAAGTGTCTCGTTACATTTTTACATGTGATATTATTTGTTTTTATGTTATTTATTATTTAATCGATCTTTTACACTAAAAATGTCATATCAATCGATGTTACTTCTTGTCTTGTACACACATACGATAAAAGTTGTTCAATTGTCGTACACCAATGGAAACGGCGTTACTGGTTGAAGCCTAAAGATACGAAAAAACATATGATGCACTATTGTATCGTATGCGAAGTCAGTATTGTGTTTAAATATCGCTTCTACCAGGATTTTCGATTCAACAAGTAGTACGATAGACGAGTTTGACAGAAATTTTTCCTTCATTTTAGTCTTAATCAAGCTGCTTACCAATTCTCTTTAGAGTAAGTTGAGTTGTGCGTTTCGATAGCAGTAATTGCATATATTTGCCTTGAAATCGGTGACGTATCTAAGGAAAAATGTATGACAGAAAATCGATTCACTTTAGTCTTTTATATACTTTTATCACTTTTGTGCACGACTTGACCGTGAATAAGCACGCAATCGCCTGAAAATAAAATTTATGAGCTAAATAAAAAATGTTACAGCATTTGACTAGTTTACCAGCTTTCATTTCTGCCGGAACAAACTCTGCATCATCATATTTTTTGTCTTCTCCTACGGTAACAAACATTTTACCTTCTTTAAATTCTTTTTCATCGGGATTCCGAATGAAACGACTTCGGATCGGTTCTAAATGTTATTCGAGTTGTTGCGAACACATGCAAGAAAAAAAAAGAGAACTCACCAGAATGTGAGCCGGGTATAAAAAAGACACAGCTATTTCCGAGAGTAGCATCTTCCAGACCAATCAAGATGTTTACTACCTTTAGCGGGTCATTATACACGAATGTTCCATCTTGATGAGGTGACACTATCGAATGAAAAGAATAGATAATTCACTTATCATATGAACAGGATTCATTTACCTTTCGTTCCTATGAATGGTTGCTTAAAAGTAAGCAACGATTGTCGTATCGCAGGTTGGATAAAGTCGAGATCATGTAGAACGGCCTGATGAATAAATAAGAAAACTCTAGAAATAGATTGATTCATATACTTTACTTTGACATTATCCGAAAATGTCACACGTTTGAACTCAGGTACGAGCATATGAAGATTATGACCGATCCGTCTCACACTGGCACGTTTGTCTTGATTGAGTTTGCCTATTTATTTTGTTTCAATCGATAGAAAACTATAGATTAGAAAAAGAAAAGATAGTTTTTTCTTTACATCCTACCTGTTTCAGGATTAACAGCATCATCTTCCGGAAAGCAAGATGCTTTATCACTACTATCGATCAGATACTGATGGCTGCTGTGTATTTTATTTTCAACATTTGAAAATAGCCACGGATTGTCACGTTCCGGCTCCCAAGCATCTATTATTCGATCGCCAGCCCCTTTCAACTTTTGACAATCATCAAGCGTTATGAAGTTTTTCACAACAAGATATCCATCTCGATTGTACTATAATGAATATTATACAATAGTAAAAAATTATAATAATATACATACACGTTGAATTTGCTCTTCGGTCAACATTTTGCTTGGCAAGAATGCGTGAATGTGTGTGTTCGTTTTACTTCTCAATCTTTTATATACAAGAATAGGAAAGAAAAACAAGAGAACAAACCAATGAAACTAAAATGACTTCGATACTGACAATGCAAATATATTTGTTTCGAAATGACGTAGCACCTAGACTACATGAATATATCCTGTAAGTAATATAACATCTACGATGTATAGGATCAACTTGTTCTTGAATTTGTGTTTACTGCAAACGTCATGATAGCATAGCACAAAAAAAAATGCAATGGTGTTGTGTCTTCAGCAGTTTACTTATTCGTTATCAGTTTGAAGATGTGTCCACTTTCAAAAGATAGTGTCATGTATCAAGATGCGCACTATGCAACTTCTGTCTTTCTTACCTGGAGATTGAAGAACTCATGGAAAACAGTAGAGAGAAAAGAATATAAGAAGCAAACGATGTTTATATGTTTGTATAATGGGTGTAACATAAATTCTGATCCCCTTATGGAATATTTTTTTTCTTACATGTTTTAAGAGTCGAAAAATATATACACCGAATGTCTAGATCTACTTTATACCAGAATTTGAGCTTTCTATTTATTACTGTTATAGAGATACAAGCATTACCAAAATAAAAAAAAATCGAAATATTTTCAGAAGTGCTTGAACATTTTTAAAACTTAGTTATAATGTAGCTTGAAAAGTACTGCTCAAAAAGATATTTACAAATCGAAATTTCTTTTAAACAGCCAACAAAAAACACATTCATCAATGCTTATGTACTTGTCCTTCATTTTGATCTATCAGCAATTTCAGTCGAATCGGTATTTTTTCCATCGTTTGACAACATTTTTTAGCAGTAAGTGTTCTCCATTGTTGTATTACTTGGTTCTTCAATTCTAATTTATCGTCAAATTGTTCTCCTCTCAACCTTTCTTTAATTGCATCCAATTACGTTCTCTATCAACTAATTTCGCACCACCTATTTCGGAATCAATACGTTCATCAAATAAAAAATCAACAGTATTTTACATAATTGTTGCCCTGTGTTCTCTGTCCTTGAAAGGTCGGTATCAAATTAGTATTTTTAAATACGTATTTTATTGCTAGTACTGCTGCTTCTTCTATCAAAAATTTCGCATATAGATGTATAGTAAAGCAACATCTACTTAATGCGTGGTCAAATGAATACAATTTTTCTCACTTATAATTGTTTCAATTATTCTCATCTAGTATATATACTTAAATATCAGTCTTTTTGACTCTTGAAACACGTAAGAAAAAGAAATATTGCATAAGGCAATCAGAACTTATATTACACCCTTTATACTAGTCCATACAAGACAATTCTATTCGAAAATGATTTTATTATTCGATCACTTTTTCGAGACTATGATGAGAACGTTAAAGTAGTATCAATTTACCAAAATTATCAATTTTGATCAATGTTGAACTTTTATACTCGATAATTTTCATATTCACTCATATAGAGATTGCCGTCTCGATCAAATGATAAATCAATGGGATCATGGAATTGATTATATCAACGATGACACTTTCCTGTGTGGCTTCTTGAGGCCAACGCATTATTCGATGATTCTCATTGTCAACTACATAAACCGTACTTGATTGATTCACAATAATGCCTTGTTTCGCACTTTCCATCCAGTTCATCACACGATTATTGTTGGAATCTGATATGTAAACTGAATGATTTAGATTGTTTTTCTATTCGATATTGTATAACTTCATGTTTATGCCAGATCAGCAACATAAAGAAATCCATTATTGCCTATTGTAAAGACTTAACATCTAATATTTGTGATAGTCGTCTCTATTTGAGCCATTTTGACGAGGCCCTCGAATAATTCTTTTATTATTGTAATCACAAATGATAAGACTATCTCTTTCTTTATCAATAGTCACAACTCTCGGACCGTTCAATTGATCACGACTGTTTCCTTTTCCATTTTCAACGGCTACAACTTGACCAGTTGTCGTACCACGTTTCTATTCCACAATACGATTATTCATATAATCAGCAATATAGATAGTTTAATCATCATCAACGCACAAACCATTTAGATAGTAGAGTTGATTTATTTCACTACCGCTCCAAACTCCTCCAGCAATAGTGAAACCGTTTTATATTCATTTCGTATTAGCATTCAGATTTGCACTGTGTAGTTATGGTACTGAAACAAAATACAATTTTACCCATTCACATCAGAATAATGTACGCCGATGAAAAGCAAAATTCGAAGTAGAGAATTTTGATCAAGAGAAAGAATAGTTTTACTCAATTATCATATTGAACAATGTCTCAAGGATAATCTTGTCGTTTTGGTATTTTCAATAGAGAAAAGTCTGGGAGCTTCTATTGGATGATTAATATTCGAATCTTTTCTTCGTCTAACAATCATCGAAAGAGTTTTCATCTGTAAAACAAGCTTTGATAACAAAAAAAATCATGATTGATCATCAGTATCAGTGAAGAAACTTGACAGTACCTATTTTTTCGAATAAAAATAATTGTTGACAAATTGGCATGACTATTGAATTTCGATCGAAATTGATCTCTCACTGTTCATGATTTCTGAATAATGTTCCTTTCCAATCGTTTCAAGATAACTTTTCTCTTCAACTATTTTTCAAAGAAAGAAAATCAACAAAATGTTGTCAACAATCTCTCGAAAATAAACTCCCAGTTAAGAACTATTGATACGATTTCAATGATGAAATAAGAAATTTCTTTTTTTGTTTTTGAAAAACAAATGATTGACACTCTAAGAAATATTTGATGAGTTTTCATGCAGTCTGATTTTCATAAAATCGACAAGATCAATATTCGTAATGATAAAAAATCTGTATCTCTGAACGATGTTACACTTACAATGGAAGGGCGTGTATTGTAAGTTAAATTGAACAGTTCTATAATGAATGTGCTGAAGAAAGTCTAATGGTATTGTTTTAAGTGGAATATTCCTTGCGACTAAGTTTCTCTTATTTTTATTCAAGCAGTTTTGCCAGCCTTATTGACGTTTCTATGAAAGATGCATATGAGTCACAATCATCGCCAACATAAGAAATCAAAAACTAATATAGATATTTTGGATTTTTCTTTTTCTCGTATGATTGGTGCCGAAACAAGGGTGTAGGTGTGTGGGTGTGGGTGTTGTTCTAATTTTCACCCACACCCACACCCTATTAAATACATACGGTACATTTCAATTGTAACAATAGAAACAATCATGTCTTACGAATAAACTCAGTTCCGAAAATGCACAAGACTTTTAATCATAATGATGTGCCCTATTTATTAAAAATTGTTATGAAATAAGAAAGTTTATGTGTTCATATAGCGTTGCATAGCGACCTCTTTTCTATATATCATTTGTTTCCTTAACAGCAGACTTATTATGATTTATTAAAACCAAAGAAATAAAATTCGATGAAAACCTAGATAATCAACTTTTAAATATATTATGTGAAGGATCCAAAATGATACGATTGGTTAATTAGCTTGGAGTTTTTCTACAAGCATCTGTAGAATTGCTATGCATGAAGATAATATTGATCATTCCTTCAATATGTCTACAGATATTAATATCAACATGAGTCCATCAAACAGAACAATCGAAGGTTTTATCAAATTTGGCAGATGTACAACAGGTTTGATACAATTCAATGATTGTCCAACTATGGCAGATATTAACTATGAAATATGTCATTGGTTCAAGAATATTCTACCAAGAGCATTCCATATCGAATTTTACAGTGAGAAAAAGAATACGTTTCTTCGCCTTGAGCAAAACGTCTTGGATTCTGAGTTCAACCCATTTTTATCCGATGTAAATAATAGCAGTCCAGAAATTACAAGTATAATGGATTATGTACAATTGTTTATCGTAGAAGACCCACCTCAGGAAGATGGCGCACCGACAGTTGAGCCTGGGACAGTTGAGCCCCGACAGTTGAGCCTCGACATTTGAGCCCACCGACAGTTGAGCTCCCGGCAGTTGAGCTCCCGACAGTTAAGCCTACCGACAGTTGAGCTCCCGACAGTTAAGCCTACCGACAGTTGAGCTCCCGACAGTTGAGCCTTTTATATATAGTTTTGGCCAAAATAAGTTATAAACTATTTGTACATTGCTCACTACTATTCGATAGTACACTACATAACACTATATATAACTTATTGATGATTTTCCTCGCTCAGTACACCAGCGACTCTTTTTTAAAGAACTAAAAAGAATTCTTAATATTTGATTAGTTATTCACTGAGCGAATAATACATATAGCTGAACAAAGGAAACGCGTACAATCATTCTTCATATATTTCTTCTCAAGTATGTCGATTATACAGTCTTCAAGAGGTAAAGATCAACTTTTATTTGATGGGTTCCGATATCGAAGAGCTAATAACAGTCAAGTAACGTGGCGATGTGTTCGTAATAATTGTGCTGGTCGAGTAACTTCTCGTGATGTTGAATATATTCATTTGAACGATCATAATCATGCACCTAATCCAGATGAATTAATATCTAAACAATTTAAATCAATAATTGATAAACGTGCTGAAACATCAAATGAACCACCAAGAAAAATAATTCATGAAGCGTTATTAGATGTTCATCCCGGTGATGCATCGGCTGTACAAAATTATAGAACAGTACAGCGTTCAGTTCAACGTAAACGTAAGAAAAACGATATGCCATTATCAACACCATTATCATTTGAAAATATCATAATTCCTGAAGAATTAAAATTAACTAATACCGGTGATAAATTTTTGTTATATGACAATGAAAAAAATGATAATCGAATTATTATTTTATCTTCAAGTACAGATTTAAATCGACTCTCGATTTCTGATCATTGGCATATGGATGGGACCTTTAAGGTAAGTTTAATATTATCACCGAATAGCTAAAGAACGTGTTATATTACATAAACTTTCTTATAGGTCTCACCAAAACTTTTCTATCAATTATATTCAATTCATAGTCATTTTCGAGGTCGTTCATTGCCGTTTTTATATGCATATCTTCCCGGTAAAGCTGAACATATTTACAAAGAATTTTTCGACATAATATTACAAAATATTGCTAAATATCCAACGTCGATTACTATTGATTTTGAAGGTACTGTTGCAAATGTTATTAAACAAAAACTTCCATCAACGAAAATAACTGCTTGTTTTTTCCATTTCAAACAAAATTTATGGAGAAAAATTCGGGTACGTTTCACTTAACTGAAATACGAATTAAATTAAATTCGAGATTCATACAACCTTGACTTTTTCGTTTAGGACGTTGGTTTGGTGCAATTGTTTCTCCATGATCGTGAAATTAGGCATCAATTGAAGAACTTCGCGTGTTTAGCATTTGTACCAGAGCAACATGTTATTGAAGAATTTGAAAAGCTCGAAGAAGAATCACCAGAATCAATGAATGGTTTGTATCAAATGTATTTTATAATAAAAATAGTAATTCTTTTCCATTGTATCCATAGAATTTATTGATTATTTTGAGAATAATTACATCGGCCGTAAAGTTCGTAATAATCGTCGTCATTCACCTCGATTTGCAATATCATTCTGGAATTGTTTCGATCGTCTTGATTTACAACTTCCACGAACCAATAATCCTCAAGAAGCTTGGCACAATGCCCTTCAAGTAACGTCTTGTTTTGCTAGCAAATCGTCTATTAACTAATTATTTCTATTTTGATGCAGAATTCTTGTCGTAAACATCCGACTATATATCAATCAATTCATGATCTTAAAACTGAACAACATGCTAATCTTATCTTTGCTGAAAAAGCTGAAGCTGGAACTATAAAAATTGTTAAACGTGCTTTATATGAAGAAATAGACGAACAGCTCCAAAATCTAGTTGCTAATTTCAACATATATACTCGAAAAGAATATTTTAAGAAAGCCAGAGCTTTATTTAATTTTTAAACTTTTATTAATAAATATTTCATCTTTATAATGTATAAAAGGCTCAACTGTCGGGAGCTCAACTGTCGGGAGCTCAACTGTCAGTAGGCTCAACTGTCGGTAGGCTTAATCATCGGGAGCTCAACTGTCGGGAGCTCAACTGTCGGTGGGCTCAGATGTCGAGGCTCAACTGTCGGGGCTTAACTGTCCCAGGCTCAACTGTCGCTTCACCCAGGAAGATCAGATTAATTCTCGAGCTGGTATGTATGAGTTTTTTTTAAAACGGATGATACATTTTTCTCTTTCTTTTAGACATTTTAATGTTATCCGATAAACTTGATGGTGCTTTAATCAATCCAATATCATTTGGTGAAATTAATGATGCTGTACTATCTTCGCCAGTCACTTTAAACTCATTAAATGAGGGTAAAATTTCTATAAAAAAATCCAAATAATAATTTTTTTTTATTATAGTTATGTTTGAAAACAATATTTCAACTAATGATATGGGCGAAGAAGTTGCTAATGACAATATTATGGAAGATAGTTCAGGTAGAATTTTCAAGAAAGAAAAATAAAACATATTTAATTATATTTATTATTTATTGTAACAAATGAAAATAATTTAAATCTAGAAATAAATTCTCAAAATTCAACAACATCATTAAATGAATGTCAACTTGCTACTGAAACAACCGATGAAAATCATACACAATCTAGTCGAATACGATTTTCTCATGATATTGAACCAGAACAAAAACATCATTATTTATCTAATAAATACAGTATAGATGATGGATCAGATAAGAATGGTGGTATCAGTTATATACAAGGTGTTAAAACAAAAGACGAAATAAAGAAAAAGATGCAAGTTTTACCACATCTTCTGGTAATGTTTTTTTTTGGTTTGCATATGAGTTCATTTTGCAAAAAACTAATCTTATTCTTTTAAATCTCAGATCCCTGGATTATATCGTCTAATAAAATCAGTTACTCTGTTAGTATATGCTGTATATGAAGAACAAGAAAATGGAATGCGAATTTGGTATAAAAATCATCATAAAGGTTTTTTATTACATAATCAAATAAAATATGATGCAGAATTTTTTAATCCAATTCTATTGAATTTAAATAATATTCAATGGCAACAAAATGGAGTTGGAGATTATATGTAAATTAGTTTTTAAATATTTAATAAGAATTATTTTCATATTTTATTTAGATTGGAAATTTATATGTTAACTAAACTCGATAAAAAATTAAAGAATAAAGAAGAAGTTTATCGACTTGATGAGCAAACAATTCTTCAAATACATACAGCAAAACATATCGTATCTTCCAGAAGAAAACATTTAAAACCAACACGTTTATTAGTTGTTCCTAAAATCGGAAATGACACTTGTTGGCATATATGTGGTTTATCAAATTTTATTCAACCACCTACGTAAGAAATAATCATAACATGAAGAAAAATAATTTTTTAGATTTTCTTCTTTAGCAAAAATCTTCCATCAATCGATTTAAACAATAGTACCACAGGTATTTTTGATTTTTTTAGAATGAATTTTGTCAACTATTAATTTCTTTTTCATTTTTAGTATCAATTACATTACCAGAAGCTAATATTAATTTGAATACAGTTGATCTATCAACTTGTTTCCAATCATTTACGTAAGAAATAATCATAGCTTTATATAAAACTAGCGAGAACCTGTGCATACTACACGGTTGTTTCCTCCTTTAACGTATGACCTTAGACGTTTAAATTTTCATCCGGTAACAGACGTACAGACACTCGATATTATGAATATAGATATATAGCCCTACGGCCTGATTCTCTTCTATCGCACATACTTTTATAGTCCAGGTAGCCTTCGACCATATAGCCTTATCTCCTTATTGTTTTACTCCCTATTATCTACCCTCTTGCTGCCTTACTCTCTTGATAATCTATGCGTACCCCCATATAATAGTCCTTAGGACCTATGGGTGCCCCCATATAATAGGCCTTAAGGATCTATAGCTACCCCATATAATAGTCCTTGACGGCCTTGAGTACCCTAATATAGTAGTCCTTGAGCCTTCTGCTTATAGCCTTATTTGACCTTTGACCCGGCACAGACAGACACTGAACATTATATATATAGATCATCTTTTTTTTTTCACATTCAGAGAGAAACTTCCAATTATACGTTCAAATGCTATTACTACAGGTATCATTTTTTTCTAAATCAATTTTCTTAACTATTGACTTCTTTTTTTCAATTTTAGAACAAATCACGTCACCAGTACTTAAAAGAAAAAAGAACTAAATATCTGTCTTTCATTGGAATATACAAGCTATTTCATACACAAGTTAATTATAGATGCAAAACGAAAATTTTTATCAATTACTTATCTTTGTTTCTTTATTGCTTTTATCTCAAACGCTGTGATCTACATATTTTTTCTTTATTTTCATGTATTCTGTTCTTTCATGAGTGTTTATCTTGAATCCGAGTGCTATACCTTTATTTTTATATATTTTCAAATAAAATAGTTAGAATATCCATTGAAAAAGTATGTGTATATGGGTGCGATTGAAGAAAATATTTCTCAAATCAACTTTCGTACATTTTCAATAATCAAATATTAAACAATGTATTTTGGATATTCGAATTACGATTTAAGTTCTTTCCATATAAATTCTAAACTTATGATGAAGCAATTTTCCATTGATTAATCAAATTATTTGTTTTTAATTTCTCTTAGAACCAACTTCAAAAACTAATGTACATGATATAATGTTTTAAAAAAACTAAATGAATTTCATCTGACCTGTCGCTGACTCAAAGTTTAAATAAGATATTGTTTGTTCAAATGTATTGCACATTATTTAAAATGTGGAGGGTGTGAATATGTATTTAGAGATGATACACACACAGAGAATTTCTGATGATAAAATCCCGAAATACTCAACAATATATTTATACTGTCCCACATGATAAATGTAATTGTTGAGTATGAGTTCAAATATCCTTTTTGTGCTCATTTTACCAAGATAGAACTATTCTTTTTATTTAGTTCATATCAGAATTCAATCAGTAACCAGACATTCTTTGTTCGATATTGAAATCTGACATCGGTTTTATGGATGAGACATAATTGAAAATCACTCTTCTGAAATAATTGCTGTTACACGTGATCGTTATTTAATATACGTTTGATTGTTGCAACACTAGAGTGTGGATGCGGGGACGGGTGAAACTGATAGTGTGCTTTATTTCTTCATGAATGTTCACATCCACATTCTACTAAGTGTTCGGTTTGCTGCAGGCTAGAGTTTATTGAATAAGTAATAGTCTTATACCTGAGCCTATTGCTACTGTGTGCGATGGCTTTTCAAGAGCTCATTAGTACGATTGCTAGCTGGGATATGGGTATGGACATTCACGAAGAAATGAAGCACACCATCTGGTTTCAACACGCAGCTCGTTGGTTTTTTGATTGAAATACGTCACTTGTTGAATATATACGAGTATCAAAAGTATAATATTTATGGATACTTCTACAGAACAGCTGCCACTTTCACCTGCATACCGTCATTTTCCATGCAAAAATGCATATGATTAAATGAGTGATGATGAATACGGAGCGTATTTTGTAGACGATAAAAGATAACTGTCACACGAAATTTACAAAAGGTTGCGTAACACTTATGAAATCTAACAAGCTTCTTTCTGTGTGTTACAGAAAAGCATTCACTTATGGGTGTATGCAGATGTAAACAAGATTGACATTTGAAAATGACGTCACAGAAGATTCATATGAGTCATTATGAAGGAAGAAAGAATTTCGAAATATTTGACGACTCGAATTTTTTCCTCTTATAAACTCATATTCAGTCCGATTTTCATCAGTATTGTGAAAAATAATACAGTAAGTAAGCGAATGCTAATCATCGAACTTGATAACATGGACTTTTTTATTTTTATAAGTGAAACATGTTGAAAAGATTATAGTTTCTTTGTAATATAGTGCTTACATATTCAAACATAAACTTTCTCGAAATTTCATATTTTCTGATTATCATTACATCATTACTCACGATAGAATTAGTTGTCAATGGGTCAACATATTGTTACATTGTAACCGCAACCAGAGATATCAACTAATCGGTAGAATCACCATCACCTATACTCTTTCCATATTCACTAAATTGATTATGATGAAAATACTGAAAGGTATAATAGATCAATGTTTCAACAGATGATATTTTTCTATATAGTGGAGGTTTTACCAATGAAGGTGATTGGTACTATTATAAAATCTAGTCAAATTCCTTGATCGCTAATCGATTTTAATCATTGATTGAGAAGATTTAGACATAAACATAAAATTGTTATCTATAGAAATCATGAAGTTGGTTTCGAAGACTTATCGAAAGAAGAAATACAATCAAAATTATTAACTGATTGTATGTCTGTGTAAAAGATGAAGTAGTTCAAGTAGAAAGCATAACAATTTATGATTCTCCATGGCACTTTAATGAAGACTGTGAAACTAAATGATCATTGATTCCTTTAGATATTGACATATTGACGACACATATTCTTCCATAATCTATATTAAACTTAATAGGTTTTTTCGACAGAACCATCTTTGATATGTAATAATATAGCTCATAGTATCTGTTGACATTTGGATGCAGAAAGTTTAATAAAAATCAATTCATCAAAGAATTCAGCTGAGGATTTATTGCTTTGGACATGTTCATGACAATTATGATTACAAATATGACCGAGAAAAACCTAAAACATTGTTAATTAATGCAGCAGCATATTTAACAAGGCAATCTTCTTTTAAATTGAAGTTGTATTTTGATTTGCAAAGAAATACAAATTTATTTTGATGAGAAAAAACGACATCAACTATTTATATTATTATCTTTTATACAAGTTTTTTCAACAAAATGTATCATGTAACATATTTCTAGAATCTTTTATTGTAGATTGATATCAGTATTGATGGCAACTGAAATGCTCAATAGTCAATATTCAATGAATGTTCGGTCGAATAATGAAGCACCAGAATTTTGGCAAGCGACTGATGAAGAAATCAATTATTTGAAACGATTGCGCGCACTTCAATCAAGAGAAAAGAATTCTCAAACTAGAAAACCAAATTTTCGAGTTCCATCGATGATTATTGACGATTTTCTCTATCACGGCACTATCTCTCATGCAAGAAACATTAATTTACTCAAAGAACTACACATTCGTAATATCATCAATGTCTGTCATGTTCGATTGAATCAAAAAATTGTTGATAATTATAACGTTCTTTGGGTCAACGTGCAAGATGATTCTGACGTTGATATTCGCCAATATTTCGATCAAGCGAACGAATTTTTACAGACATGCAGAAACAAAAATCAGAAAGTTCTAGTCCATTGTCATGGTGGTATTTCTCGTTCATCGACCATTATTTTAGCCTATCTGTTAAGGTAGCACGCAGCTTCTTTATACACAATTATATTTAATATTTCATTTTAGGCACCATCATGATACACTGCGTAATGCTTATCATTATTTGATCGAACGACGTCCTGTAGCTGCTCCGAACGCTGGTTTTTTTCTACAACTCATTCGTTACGAGAACGATTTGCATACAAACAATATTGTTGATCTAAAGCGAAGATCGAGTGAATCAATCAATACTGACATAGTCTTATCGACTACGATCGAATGAATCATCTAACTAGTCTTAGTAATGAGTTCAAACTCAAATGACTAGCATTGAATACTTGTCGATTGTTAATTCACAATTGTATTTGTCGTTCGTTCAGTAACTTGAAAGTAACATTTTTCAACGGAATGTGTTTTGTCAACCATTGATAGAATTCATCATTGTCATTGAAACATGAAGATTTTCGATACAGTACTTTCAAATTTTCTTCTCTGTAGACATGAAAATGGATTAAATGTTGAAGATAAGAAACTGCTGATTAAAAAGTTTTTCATGTCACACGTCTCATATCGAGCTAACATATTTACGGATATTTGAAATAGATCAATCCGTATAGGTGATTCAATAGATAAGAAGTCATAATAGATATATTCTTTAATTTTAAATGTACCAATATCAACAAAACAAACATAGTGTAACATTCTGTAGTACTGGTGTCATGTTTCAATCGTAGTACTTCAACATTGAAAATACGAATGAGAGGAAGAATCGATGGATGATATTTTACTTCCTAAGATTTGTTGATTGCAGCCAACAGGCAACGTATGAAATGGCGCAATACCGACGGTAGATGACCTACAGGCTACTTGATTGTCCGTTCAGAATGTTGTTTGAAGGTTTTCGAGAAATCGTTTTGTTACTATCAATTCAGGTCAAGGAATGAGATCAACCTGATTTCATTCTAATAGCGTAAAATCAGTGGATTTAATTTCATACATATATATTCATCTTATTTTGCTACTCAATAAGCCTTGCTTGCTAAATAAATTTGGCGCAAACAATGTTCAAAACTCACTCAAATCCTATTCATTATTTTGAATTATAGACACTACTAAAATTTATCCAAGACATAGAGTGGATGTGCGTTTTCATATTAACCACACCCTAATTAATGTTGCTTAGATTGTCATTAAATAATAAGAAAAAAAACCATTAAAAAGTAATAAAGAAAAATCCATATAAATTCTGTTGAATGATTTCCTACAAACTGTTTTATATTAAAAAATTGATAACTTTAATGAAACCTATCCACAATCGAGAAATATCATTTCGTGTAAAATTTTAAACATATCTAGGCTCATCTTTTTTTAAAGTAATGTATAGTTTAATTAAAACGATTAACTTAGACTGATTGCTGAATAAGTAAATTGATGTGTTTCACTAGAATTCCATCTATCATACAGACAAAATCTTTTAATTCACAATTACAAATAATTATTTATTAAATTAAATAGACCTACAACTAAATCTTTTTTTCTTGTTCTATACAGACAAAAAAAACATTAGGCAAAATTATTCCCTAGACTGAAAGGCTAAGGTCTAGAAATCGTAATTCATTTGTGTCTGTCTGTAACAAGTGCTTGGCGCAAATGACTATTTCTAGGATGTGGATGTGTATTTAGAGATGATCCACACCCACATCCTGCTTGTTTCAATAAACCATAAGATAATGAGTGAACGAAGTCTGTTTTTTTAATTATATTTTATATTAACTTATTGATATAAGTAATTTTCAACAAATCATGAAAAATATAAAACATTATTCCTAGTCATTTTTCCTACGAAAAGTCTCATTTCTCCTATG